TCCTGTCTCTTCTCACTTGAATAAGGCTCCGGCTCCAAATGATGGGGAAGTTCTGTGACACATTCACTAATATTTTCTTCAGAAAAAAGCAAAGAGAGAATTCTTGAATGCACTCTGTTATGTTGTAAAGCACGAAGGGAGCGGCTGGAGCACGAAAAATGTGTAGGGAGTAACAAAAGACCTAGTCGGGTGTTTCTCCCCAGTTCAGAACAGATCATAGTCAAGGCTTATCAATTTGTTCTATAACAAACAATCCATTAAATTCCTCACTCATTATTTGTTAAATACCTGTACTGGAGATCTTGACATTATGGGCACTGAACATGCCAATACCGAATTCTTCCGCTCCTTGCCTCCCAGCCGTTTTAAGAACAAACAATCCATTAAATTCCTCACTCATTATTTGTTAAATCCAATATTAACCAAACCAAGAAATTTATTGACTGTAAAATCCTTAAACATCGATTCGAAAACGTTTTTCTTCAAAAATCTATTTCTACCCGAAAAGTCACATAGAACAAAGCCACCGCCAGGCAGTTCCCGGATGGTCACAACATTCTTGTTCAATTTCGAAAAGAAACTTCCAATTTTCAAAGTGAACACCAGCGTCGTCAGCATGCTCTATACTCTCATAAGCCAATCAGAATCCTCGTTAGCATGGTTCAAATAATCTGATTGATTGAACAAGAGTAATGCTGTCAATAGTATCAAATCATCAAAGTTCGCAATCTGCAATAGTTCACAAACTGAAATAGTTTGACAGATCAAATTTAAAGTGTCCTTTGTTATACTTGACCTATTTAGCTTAGCTACAGCGTGATCTGTCTTGCATGGAGTGCTCTACTCTTTTACAGATTATCCTTATGGCTCTGTTTGCTTGTATATTTAGATTTATTTATTTGTCATCATTACCATTAAATTGTAATAAATAAATAACACTTTTGCCTGAATTAACGTTTTCAATCTTACTCCAGAATCTAAATACGGTTTTTCATGACAGTCAGAAAACAAACTGCTCGAAGCTTGTTTTATGAATGTACGACGGGAAAAATCATAGGAACGCGAAGATTGCGTGGGTTGACAGCCCAGTAAAAGTCGGCTGCAGTGACTGATGTGGCCTTCACTCAACGCGTTGTAAAAGGATATCAGAGCAACTCTTGGTTGTTGCCTCGAAGGGCGGCCGATGTAATTTCTGACGCTTGCTTCACTGTGATGCCCGGCGATCGCCATGTAGCTAAACTCAGTGGAGCACAGCATCATCGCAGTCGCACTGACACCGTCAGTTTGTGTAAATTCAATCAGTTATGCCGGTTTGGTTATATTTTCATCATGCATTCCTGTTTGTTGTTGTTGTTGCTGTTGTGAGCGCGAAACTGTATATACTATGCGAGTGTGAGCTTTCTTTGGCTTTTATTACCATATGTAAGATTAGAATCTAGCTGAGCGTAAAAACCTTCAAAGCTCGCACTGTACATTTCGTTTTCTCTTTATGGATTTCGTCTCTTCTCACGATACAATAACGTCAATTACGGCGCTTGGCATGTTTATGAACCTTTGTTTGGTTCGTCTTTTACTACTTGTCGATTCGCTTGTTCCGAAATTTCATTTTCGATTAACGAAAAAAAGCCAGAGAGAAGTCCGAGAAATGGTCAAACATATTTAGCTCCGTATTTTGAACTCTGGTAGACGACGCTCTCTTAATCAATGACCGCGTGCGTTTTATCCGAACTTCACTACAATAAGTAAAAGAGAGGATACGGTATCACTGTTGAGCTTGTGGGAAGCATGCTCTGATTTATTGAAACATGAACTGAATCAGATCATTATAACTGCAGTGAGTTTACATTGCATAGTCAATGAGCTACATTTTCAAAAACCCACAGAGCCTGTGTATTTGGGGTTTGCATGTGTCAAAACAATGTTGACCAATCTAGTAAATTATATTCATTCAAGCAACAACAATAAAAAAAAACAACACAACTTACCACTTCCTTCTTCAAAGTCAAAGGTCGCAGGGCCAGAAACCTAAATAGAGCGGAAAAAATTAAAAATTACGGGTGTATATGAGATTGATAAAACCGAAGAGATGGAGGATATTAGCAAAAAGTAAAACGTAATTGGGTTTTTCTTTTTTTTCTTGATTTTCCCCACTTTTTTTTCCATTTTTAATTACAAAGTACAGCGCTGTTATCCAGTGTCAGTAACATAATTACAGATGATAATTAACTGTCAATAAATAATGTCCATTTGGCCCGAAATTTCCTCATATTAGTCATCTCTGTAACAACAGTAATATTTGGGCTGAGACTTACGTCCAGATATCTCACTTTGCAATAATTAAAAAGTAATTTAATAAGTCAATTAATTCATATAATTTGCCAATCAAAACATCCTGCAATGAAATTTCAATATGTTCACCAGAAAGTGCAAACCAAAAGTTTTTGAAATATTTCCAATAATGTTTAGTACGAGAACATTCATGAAATAGATGATGTAATTGAGTTAGTAATTAACCAAGTGAATGATGAGGAAACTGATTTGGACCATTCTGAGATGAAAAAGACAGATTGGCACGAAAAGTGGCTTCAAAACAACTAAAAATAAAACTACTTTATGCTCTTCTACNCGGTCCTGGGGCAACATGGTGGCCGATTTTCCGTATTTTGACTGGGCACAGAAAACTGAAGATTTGAGCATATAAAAAAAAATTTGCACAGCAATACTCCAAAAAATACGCTTATTTCGTTAAGCGAAAACAAAAATTTAGGTTTAGGTGCACTTTCAGAAAAAAAAGGGTGTAACCACTGTTTTTCACAGGGGTAGTGCACTGATAGCCCCTGGTTTTTCGTCCACTTTCCTGCAACTCAATGGATTGGTTCTCGATTACCGCGAGTTCAACTCCCTGACTGCACTGTGTATGTAGCCAACTGGTTTGCCACTAGCCAGTTGGCATTTTTAAACTCTATGCTTATTTTATTAGTTAAAGGAGGGGCATGCACACCACTAAGTTACGATTAATTCATAATAACCTCGAGAGATAAAGTTTCATTTGTTTGTTGGTAAATACCTGTACTGGAGATCTTGACATTATGGGCACTGAACATGCCAATGCCGAATTCTTCCGCTCCTTGCCTCCCAGCCGTTTTAAGAAGTCGACTTGCAGACTTCTCCTGTCTCTGATGCTAATACGTAGTTTTAGCCGAAATGGTTTATGATCAAAAAACCTTTCAGAAGAAAAGAAAAAATATTTTGATGAACATCAACTTTTTCCTATAATTATGTAAGAATTTTTATCAGTCATACTGGGGACTCGAAAATTCACGCAAGTCTACATCTTTGCCGGAGACAGTGAAAAATATAGAAATACTTGTTAAGTTACTTTGGCCATTTTTATCGTCGAAGTCAACGACAGAATCGCTTACTAATAGTAAGAATAGTCAATATTAAGAGAACATAATCGGCGCCCATCCTATCGCAATGTTCGAATTCTCCCACCTTATAAATTCCCCGTTATGTACAATGGACTTTTAAAGAGACGTCTTTGGAAACCCTCCAAAACATTTCATAGCTTTACGGAATCAGTGCTTGAACACGAATGGCAACTTTGGTGCAGCTACCACATCAAGCAAAGGATACAACGCCGCACTGCTTTATTAAAGTTGTCCGGCCACAATTCTTTCATAAACTGCCGAACAAATGAGCAATATATCTTTAAGTTAGTTTGGTCATTTTTTTCGTCGAAGTCAACGAATAAATCACTTACTGCGATCTAGAGTAATGATAGTCAATATCAAGAGAACATAATGGGGGAGAAAAGGAGGGTTCTGGTCCAGGCCTTGGATACCGTATATCAGTTTCACTAAAGTAAGTTAAAGATAGTCGTAGCCGGACTACCCCAGGCCATGCCGTGCGTGCGTTGACATAGAAGACTAACCATCGAAAAATTAGGGCTTAGGAATCTATGACGGTAGATAGATTAAGCACTGGAAAATAAAATGTATAGACTAAGAAACATTTCGAAGCCATTTTTCCTTGTCCATAGCTTTCTAAAATAAAAACATTTGTGGGACAACACCTCCATATGCTGCAAGGTGAGGGCTATATCCGAAACGAATCTTGTGTAATTGATCACTTGCTCACTTTTCGTTTCGCATATGGCCTTTTGCTCGCAGAAAATGGAAAAAGATATCCCTCCTCTTTCAGCGAGCTTCGGTGGCTTGTGAGTAGGATTGATGTATTGGTGAACAGTAAGACTGGGTCCTTTTGATATCAAACCTTCTTTGACATGACCGGCCACCACCCTGATTGGCCTCTCTGTCCCATTTTTTTCTCATGTCAATTTGTCGTGCCTGAAAGGTCGGCATGGACAAAGAGGCAAGATCACTATGTTGTTTCACATTTACGAGGAGTGGTGCTTACGTTAAGACGATGTCCTCCGTAGTCCATTCTCCGTGTACCTCAAATCCATCCGAAAGAGACACAAGTATCTCATCTCCGTTCGAAAGAGGTATCTGTGAAGTTCCTTCTCCTTGCATATTGACAAAGTATGTTGAGGATATATCGCTAATCAGTTTGGACCTTAGATGCGCCGGGAAACAATACAAAGTCAGTAGGTATCTTGAGGGTACTTCATCTTTGCACAGGCATGCTAAAAAGCCAGCTCGTTGTTCCATGATGCTATCGTGAAGGGGCGAGACATATTTCCATGGGACGCTGGCGGACATCCTTAGCTACTAAGGCCAAAACCTGCAAGAAAATGGGAGGAAATTGTACACATCATATACCAAACAACCAAGTTAAAAAGCGCATCTACACGTGTACAAAGTATATCCTCCTCTCATGAATAAACATTTGCTAAAGGCAAATAAACCCTCGACAAGTATCTTGACATTTTCAAATGAGAATTTCCACCTTCGTCAGTTACCTAGCTCAACACTAATTGACACCTCCATTTCATAACTCTTGAGAGGAACTTTTGAGTTTGAGACAGCTTGGATACCACTCCGGGAAGCTCCAGAGCTTGATTTACAAATCACCAAATGTTGAAGGAGTAGGATAAGTACGAGGAGCAGAGGAATGGTGCGGGAGGGGGTACTCTACCCACACGTGGGCGTGCCCGTGTTTGTATACTTTTTAAATCACGCAATAGAAGGGCCCTTATGTACACATAAATGGAAGTTGATGCACAAGCATGCGACGTTATCAACTTGCTCAGAATTTTCACTTGACTTTTCGTTTTTTTCAACAACTCTCTCCAGTTACAAACGGTGTTTTACATCTTTGCAGGAACTATTGAAGGTTTATCCTTAAATGATGGGAGAAGAAAGCTTCCATAACTACAACCGAAGCAGTGTAGTTCTCCGCCCAAAACTCTAGAGCGCATGGTAAAGCAATGACTGCCTTTGTGGACTGATGTACGCGAAAGAAATTCGATGGCTACTACGTTCAGTATACACAGAAAGTCACACATCGTTATCAGTAGACCCACACAAAAAATTGTAGTGCGTTTTGGGAACGAGTCGGTCCGCGAACTTTGCGAGATATCAATTTACGAGTGAACCTTCTATCGAGAAATATCAAGCGAAACCTGCTATATCAAACGAGCTATCTCGTATTATGTTTACATGTAAATACAACCGTGTATTTAGACGTGATCGAGAACCCAGTAGAATACAAGAAGCTGTTCTGCAACGTCTCAGTAGAAAGGGCAGAAAACTGAAGGAATTTGTTTATGAGCGTATTCATCCAAGCATACCGAATTCCTCTTGGTTACGTCATGTGAAGGTTAGAAGAGTTACAAAGAATGTTTGTATGCTTAATACGAAGAGGATAAGATTATATAAAGTTACACAACATGAGAAGTATTCGTTGAATTGTTCTGTGAGGGTATATTAAATGATAATTAAATTGGAGTATAGAGTAGGTCGGCATTTATCAATGTTTTCTTGTAGTAGACCCATGTGTCTTTGTAACAGTCAGACACGTATCAAACTACTGTAATTATATTGAAGACAGCACTCTAGTTGGATGCGATAATGATGATTGTAAAGTTAAATGGTTTCACCTTCAGTGTCTAAGACTAAAGAATCCCCCAAAAGGTAGATGGCTGTGTATGGACTGTCAAAAATTGGACTAGATGCAATAGTCATATATTTTTCGTACCAAATTAAGGCAGAGAATTACAAGTACAAAACAGTGTTTACTATGTTCATGATATCACTAGTAATAGAAAGAAGTCATTCAATCCATACCCATTTACGTCAATTGGAATATTGAGTACTGCACTGTATGTTCTGCCACATATAATAATAGAAAATTGACAGGGTGCTCACACCTAAGTACTAAATTGTGTTTACTAAATGGTGTTTAGTGATTTGCAAAGTTATAACCAATTTGTTTACATTGTTAAATCATGAAATAAACTGTTTATTTCACTGCTATATTGTTGTTAAAATATTGCTTTCTATTTACTGATATTTTTGAAAGGACTAGACCAACTATGTATTAAATACTTTGACTACTCAAAAGGCACAATTGAATCTGACAAGTTAGTCAGGGCACAACATAATTTTGCAATTCTATCAATGGATGCTTGCTTGCCACTTTTTGCTTTCAACAAGGTAATTGGCAGAATACTTTGTAAAATTGTATATTTACGCCGGGCAAGTCCGATCACTCTTTCCACATGTATCCGGACATTTGCTATTTTCCTGGTAGTTTCCACTTCAATGGCTGACAACTGTTTCTTTCCTCTGGTAAATGCTGGTATATGCAGTTTGGCTTGCTGTAAGGCAACACTATCTGCGATATCAAAACCTCTGTCTGCAAGCACAATGTCACCAGGAAGTAATTTCCTCAAGATTCCACAATTTTCTGTCAGGTATTTATCACTTACTCGACCACCCCATGCTTTAGATATAAATGATATAGAGCCTTGGGGAGTAATACCTATTAAAAATTTTACAGTGTTGTGGTGTTTATAATTTGACCATGTCATTGCTCGAGCAATCAAGCTAGATGGTCTTTCAATAAACACCTCAAAACAATCAATAATCACTGACACCTTGTTCCCGAAGTTTTTTTGAAAGACTGATGGCATTGTGGCTCTAAGTTGATCTCTGTCAGGCCAATGTATAAGAAAACCAAGACGGTCAGACAACACTTCACTCCAACGATCAAAAATGCGCCCTGCAGTGGAAGAGGCTATCTGAAATCTATAAGCCAGATCTTGTAGTGGGACATTAAGCCTTACTCTTATAAGAACAAGCAACAGCTCTTGAAATGGTGTCAATGCATTAGTACTCGTTGACTTGATATATGGTAGAACTAAATGATATACTTGAATTAACATAAAAAAGTTTGGAAGACCAGTGTAAAATTGGGTTTTCTCGTTGTTATTTTGAAATGTTTCCATGTTAAGCTGAGCATCAAGGAGCTTTTGCTTGAGCTCAGAAAGCTCACACTGTAGGTTGCGAGTGTACTCGTCTTTATTGTGTAGGTCAATAATTGTCTCTGTGGTCTGCACAGATGCTTCTAGTGTAGCAACATGAAACTGACATCCCTTGTCTAAATCAGAGTCTTGACTAACATACTCTGTAATATTAAATAAGAAATGTTAGAATAAGAATTCATATACAGAAAATATTGACATCCAGTTATATACCCACTCCAACAAGCTATAGAAAAATGGTTTTTAAGAACAAATTCTACTGGAAATATTAATAGTGAACCATATTAATAACATATGACTTTAAATATAAATACCTTGGAGTGGAATATCATGAAAGTAGTTGTCAAAGTCGTGAGAGCTCGCTGAACTTGTGTCAGTTGACTCAGTTGTCACCTCAGACTTCTTCTTAGCCCGCTTGTTCTTGACCGGTTGGATCGATATTTTTGCCCTTTTCTCAGCTCTTGATCCTCGGGATGCGGCAGCAGCAGGGTCCTTTATGTTTGAATGTCCCATATTTACTGTAGGAGCCCAATCCACATTATTTTTATCGTAAAGATCCGATGGCTTTCCTAAACAAACACATGTGATTTGATGTTTACAGTGTTTCGCGCGAAATATTTTACCCGAGTTTTTTGTTACTTTAATAGCTAAACAAAGCCCAGAACTTCTACAGGAATATCTGACTTACCTGAAACAAAATGTGCGCTACAAACTCGGGTTGTTTCGGCTTTTTTCTCGGTCAGATCTTTGTCAGATCGGTGAATATTCTTGAACCATCGTTTCCTTCTTTCAGTGCTTAATCGTTCTGTTTCTTCACCATTATGACTTATAATTTTCGGAATTCGAAAAAAACTGTATTTTCCTTTGTCGCGAACATTGTTGTGGCCACAACCAACTACAGCACATAGAGTTGGCATGGCAAACTTAGATAACTTACATATTCACTACTGTGACCGTGCCCTAAAACACGCTTACATATCGTCCAACATGGCCGACTTCCGGTTTTCTTAATTATGCGTGACGTAACGTGCAAATGAAGAATTGAGCTTTGCTGAGACTTAAATTGACTCACAGCAGTCATTGAACCACGATTAGTTTGATCGAGTACTCTATGCATTTACTTTCCAGCATATTGACACAACTATACAACAAAAACCAAACAGTCAACTCCTGAATCTGTGTATTTATTTAACTGGGTTGCTTGACTGGAATGATCGAGCCTTGAGCCATAAGATGCATAATTACACTGCCATTCATTTCAACTGAACCGCATGTCTCGTGAAATGCACAGTAAACTAAATTATTTTCCATAGCCTACCTTAAATGGAAACCTCTTTGTCTTTCCTCGTTGTTCTTCACAAATATTCCATCAACAAAATACCCAGCAAGATTACATTTTGAAGAAAGTACTTCTGGACCCTAATGCAGCAAACCATATAAACTAAATGTAAATAACAGGATGATTTTATCGAAGGTTTAAACCGTGCTGATCCGTTTGCACCGATTTAGATCGGTGTCGATAGGTGTCATGATTTCAAGGATGACTCTGATGTAAAAACGGGATCAACTAACTACGACATGCACCTCTAGCGAATAGTTGTGATTTGAAGTTTCCATTTGAGTTTAAGACGCTTTTAGATGCGCTTCGGTTTCATTTGAATTATCGCACAGGGCAGCTCAGGAAGACATGTTGAGCATACCTTAACACCACGTTAAATTGAGAATTATCTTGATAAGTTTGAAGCTGCAAACAAACGGCGGAAATGCTTGAACAAGTGGCTACGAATTAGCACTGCCCCTTGTTCGCCAATACCTTCATAACTCGAATGGAGTATAAAAATGGCGAGTGAAATGTAAGACCGTGTACTGCCATTATTTGAAAGCCGGTTAGATATACCCTTAGCAACGGGGAAGTCCCTTTGTAAGAAATGAACTTGAGCCTTGGACAATTCAAGGATAGGAAAGAAGTTGCGCTAAAAATGAGTCGACTTGGGATACCTTCGTGTTGAGATAGAAATGTCTACAAGGACACAATCCTAAACTATTCTACAAATACCAAGAAAACTAGTCTGAATTAGCGAACTGAAATGATCCCTATCAGACAATGACGTCATTCTTAAATGACGTCATTCTTAAATTTATCCGTTCACGCAGCAGGAACGAAGATGTCACGTTTTGATTTGAAAGAAAATACAAGCTACTGCTTTCAATATCACGCGAGTATTTCGAGTAACCTACGAGTGACATACGAAATTTCCAAATTACGCACGAAAAGATAAGGATTTCATACGAGTAAGGAACCAGCCATCATATATTACCAAGGGGGGTGGGGCTGGCATCATTTATTGCCAACTGGAGATGGGGTAGGGGGGAGGAATTTTGGTTTTTTTACACTTCAAAACTTGGACTGTTATTGCTTATGACCAGGCGTGAGGTCAAATGGCTGGATATTGGCCGAGTTCTTTAATTCTTTTATGGACCCNATAAGTCCCAAGTAATTACATATTATATGTCACGCTGAAAACATGTCACACCTTGCAAAGCTATGTTCTACTTTATTGCTCTTTACGGTAAATATGAAAGTGTAGTAAATTGTTGGTGTGTTAGTCACACGAAACGCGCGGAATGAATGATATCTACTTGTTGACTGAGTCAGGGGGGCTGGACAGGGAAGTATATGACTCGAGGTCATATGTGGACTATCAGCAAAGAAAACCTGTCACTGATCGTATACTTAAAAGTGAAGATGAACTAGACGAAAACTTTAGTCTATGTATGCGCCAAGATGGCAGCACGCTTTTGTAACTTGCTCTGTTTAGGGGTCTTCAATTAACTTATTCCATGGTTTCAGCCTCCCATTACCAAGTTGCAAAGTGGTAAGAACCTCTGCCACCTATTGAGTATCAATGGGGAATCCTTTCGCTAGGTACACGGAATTTCCCTGGCCTATTTTTCAGACCGTCATTGAAGCGTATCGAGTCTACAGTCTTTGCAATCAAATATTCGATTTCAAGACTCAGCAAACAAGGAAGCACAGTGCTCATACTTCCTTGACGCCTATTCTGGTTTGACCTAACGATTCATATGGATATTCAAAGCAACCCAGGACCCGAAAGGCCGTAAAACTCTCAAATAAATCATCTGCAGACATCGGCTAACAGCTTCCGAAATTTGAATAATCGTGCTTCAAATGCAATTAAATATTCAAGATATGATCTTCTACAACTGCGGTTACGGCTATTTAAAATCCCAGACGAAACCTTCCATTTGCTGAAAAGCAATGAAATATTGAGAATACGAGGAGTTCGCTCTGCTCAGGCTGTCTGAAAGCGTCAGCATAATATTGCAATCTCTAATGTTCAACGGAAACCTGGCAACAATAAACCCGGCGAGAGAGGAGTGAATTTGCATAATCTGTGCTCAGTAAAGCGCTTTGGAGAAAATAAACAACCTTCCAAAACGCCCGGTGGGCTTGAAATCCTTCATTTGAATATTAGATCGCTAAAACATCGCGCTCACTTGTTAGAACTACGGCAACTTGCATCTGAAAGGAATAGCGACGTTATTACAATCTCTGAAACATGGCTCAACACGTCCCTTCAGCAGAGATACAAATTAAAGGTTACAATATACACAGGTTAGATCGACTTCACAAAGGAGGCGGCGGAATATGTGCCTATGTCCGAAAAGATCTTAAATCATCTGTACTGAAGGAATTTTCATAGATATTGGACCGAAATTTCCATCAGCTTTGGATAAACGTCCAGTGCAAGAAACGCAAATCAATAATTATTTGCGTGACATATGGCCCCGACGACTCTCCTTTGAGTTCCTTCGAAGAAGTACTTAAGCCCACTTATATCGAAGCCCAGTTATATCCAAGCCTTGCTGCTTGACAAACCGATCACAATCCTAGGCGACCTAAACTGCGATGGCCTCAAGAAAACTGGCACTGAATTCAAGACTTTGGAGAAATTCTATACGGATATGAACTTAAAACAACTCATAACAAAACCAACCAGGATAACAGCGACCACTCAATCCCTGCTTGACTTTATCCTAGTTTCCTCCAACAGTCCAGTGTGTGATAGCGGTGTAATACATCGATCAATCGGTGACCATTCAATCGCTTTTGTCAACATCGCCAGAAATCGAGGACATTTTACTCCCGCATTCATTGGTCAGCGGATTGGAGTCGGATGAAAACAAAGATAGTGGTTAGGACAAGTTCCATATTAAATAT